GTTCTGCTCTGTAACACATGGGCTTGCCAAGAGCGGAATTGATTCCATGGCAGTGGGTTTGTTTTTTTCGGGTATGTAACATAACTTGGTTCAGTTCACTCCCCAGCTTGAAACTCATCAACGAGTCCCTACAAAACATTGACTGCATCGCAGATTCTAAATCGTGGCCTGATATTCTGCACGTTCTTGTCCCCAGTTTTGTTTGGAGCATTATCTCCATAGTCACCCTAATGAATTCTCTCTTCAAGCCAAAACTGAACTACCTGCTATTGCCTGATCGTTCCATGAGCCTTTCTGCATCTGCTTCTTCCACTTGGAAGGTCTTCCAGCAGATACTCATCGGCACTGCTTGTAAATGTACAAATTGTCATGGCTTGGAATGAGCTCGGCTTAATGGGATCACTAAAGGGATGTCTGCCTGAAGCAATTTAACAGGGAGACTTTTACTTTTGACCTGCTTTGTCTAACGTGTTGCTGCTTTTTGAAAACCTTTTTAGAGGTAAAACTAAAGGGAAATATTCTCATTGAAAACGGGAAAATTCATTTGTTACACTTCATTATCTTTTGGTATGGGCTATTCAGGCAAATTTAACTGTATTGAGTGTATGGGTGGGGACGTGATTATTCAACCCTACTGACTAAACCTTGGTTTTTTTAATGGGAAAATGTAGGGGGAAGGGGAACAACCTTAATTCAGAACCCCCCCGTAATAAAGTATGTTCATCTGATGAAATCCTGTCTCACTGTAAAGTCCCTATGTTCTCTCTCTTTTTAAAAAATATTTCATTGTGGTAAATACATATAATAAAGCATTTAAACATTTTTTACACGGACAATTCAGTGACATTAATTATGTTTGTCATGTTGTGCAACCATCCCCACTGTCCATTTCCTGATTTTTCCATCGTTCTTAACAGAAACTCCCTGCCCCCTGAGCAGTGATGCCTTCTTTCCCCTGTACTCTCATTTTTAAGCAACTTTTCCTGACACTCAGCCCAAGGATTTGTTCACTGGGAGTCCTGTGACATCTATCCCATCCACAAACCTTTATCGTATAGCCGTTAAACATCAGGTACTATGCTAGATGCTGGGGTCATCAAGACGCATAAGACAGCATCCTTCACTACAAGGCTCTTTCCGTAGAGTGGAGGAGGGAAACGGTTATGCAGTACACCATAATACAGGTTCTTCAAATAGATTACTACTCTTGCCCTTTGTCAGATATGAATGAGATGCCATGGCAGAGGAAAGCAGTGAGAACTTAATAATCCCAAGGTCAAGGATCCCCTTTCAAGGCAGGAAACACTTGACCTGGGCCTTGGAGGGTGCGGTGTGGGAACGGAGGAAGCCACAGTGTGTTCAGGAATGGGGAGTTGCCTGCCCAATGTAGCTGGAACGCGCAGGGCGCATGGAGGAAGTAGTGCAAGATGAGACTTGAAGTGTAGCTTGGGGCCAGGCAAGGAATGGGCTTAAAGAGCAGGCCAAGGAGTTTGGAATTCACCCAGTATTGAAAGTAGTCTCATCTGAGGTGCTTTAAACAGCAAAGAAAAATTTTGAGACCTGTGTTTTTCAAAAATTATAACTGGTGGTATGATGAAGGATGAATTGGTGGGAAAGACTAAAGTAGAAATTAGGTTACTTCCTCAGTGGACCCCGAGGTATGCTGTATTTCTCTTAAAACACTTGATACATTATTTTCTGTGATTGGAGTTATATGTGTATTTGGCTCTCCAATCAATAATACTTCCTGAAGCTGGACCTTGAGTGGGGTCTTGAAGGATGGAATGGGTTTAGTAGCAACTGCTCTTATCTAAAGCATCCAGGAATTCTTGAAAGTTGCATTCATAGCACAACTGAACTACTCAGTAGTTGGCAGACTTTTTTCTCTAATTCTTTACATACGTTAAGGGAGATAAAGGTATTAACAAACATTAAAACACATTAACAATGTGTATATTTAAAATTATAGTCATAGTGCATAGTTGCCATTTTGAGTTCATAGCATAATCCATGTGATTTGCTAAGCACTGTATACATATTACCTCACTTAATACTTTCAGTACGTGGTATAAGCCCCATTTTACAGATACGCTGAAACTTGGACAATTTACCCTGCCAGGATCACCTAGCAAGTAAGGGATCGGCTCTTCTCACCAGGATTTCCGTACACTCTCGTCCCCTTTGTTCTCTCAGTGATAGCCATGTTGGCCTTTTTCTGTGCCCCTTTCTGTTCCTTCATCAGAGACAACACAACTTATGCCTAGAATGTTCTTCTCCCAGATCTTTACAAACTGACCTCTTAAGGATTTTAGCTCAAATGTCACCTCCTCAAAGAAGCCTTCTGTCTTAGTCATCTAGAGCTGCTATAACAGAAATACCACAAGTGGACGGCTTTAACAAAGAGAAATTTATTTATTCACAGTAAAGTAGCTAAAAGTCCAAATTCAGGGCATCAGCTCCAGGGGAAGCCTTTCTCTATCTGTCAGCCTTCTCATCAGTCTTCCGCCAGACTAGGAGCTTCTCCGCGCAGGGACCCCAGGTCCAAAGGATGCGCTCTGCTCCCGGCACTGCTTTCTTGGTGGTATGAGGTCTCCCAATTCTCTGCTTGCTTCTCTTTCCTTTTATCTCTTGAAAGCTAAAAGGTGGTGCAGGCCACATCCCAGGGAAGCTCCCTTTACATTGGATCAGGGATGTGACCTTAGTAAGGGTGTTACAATCCCACCCTCATGTTCTTTAACATAAAATTACAGTCACAAAATGGAGGACAACCACACAGTACTGGGAATCATGGCCCAGCCAAATTGATACACACATTTCTGGGGGGACATAATCCATGACACCTTTCTTGATCATCTTGTCTCATGTTGCCCATTTTCCTATTTTACTTTCTTCATAGTAGATTGTCATTTGCAATTATTTATTTTCTGTTCCACACACTAGAATATAAATTCCATGAGACAAAGTACGTTACATGCGTTATACACTTCTGTATCCAGAGCATTTTGGAGCAGTCTCTGGACCTTGGTACACATTCAATAATTATGTATTCAAGGAGTGGGTGGGTGAATGGGTGGATAAATGCCTCCAAGGCCCACATTTATTCTCCGGTCTCGTCCTCACTAAGGGTTTTCTTGTTAGTTTTTCTTTCTACTACCTAGCACCTGGAGGAAAACTGACTGACCAGCCACGTAACCCATCAGACCATGTATCTGAGATCCAAGCTGATGAACTTTTTAAAACCAAAAATTTACTTACTGAGAAAAGATACCCACCGATCATTCTCTTTCTCATTAATGAAGATTACTTGATCATATCTTAAGCTTGTAGTTCGTGTACAGCACCTAAGATGTGTGATTAGTTTAAAAAACCGAAAAAAGAAAAAACAAACCGGTTGCCGTCGAGTCGATTCCCACTCATGGTGATCAGTTAGATGTGAAAATTTCGGATACATTATTTTTAGAATTTTATCTTTTCTTATTGCATTCCTGTTGGCTGATTTCTGTAGGAGAATATTGGAATTTCCAGAAAGCAGAAATTGTTCCTGGCTATTTTGTTTTTGTTTAAAGCATTAGAAGTTTAAACATACATAGTCTGTCTCATAAATTAGTGAGTTTGTATTATGTCCACACATAAAATAACAGTCCTGGGACGGTAAATTCTTTCAGTTTTTTCCTCAGACTACATTTTTCTTCAGTGGTTTCAGATCGGCCTTTTTGGAAGCGTAATTTCCCTTCTGTCTGGGTGGAATCTGAGATGACGCCCTTGGTCACTAGCATATTAACCCCTTCTTTGCTCACATCCACATGTAACTAGGGATAGCTGGCTGACTGACTCCTGAGTTAGAGAAGGTGGCCTGCGAAGGAATTTTGAGTACATTTCTCAGTGTTCTGTAAAGAGCTTGATCTTAGCTCCGTTAATTAACTTTGTTAAAATGGTATAAAGGGGCTCATATGATTCTAAACTAGAGAAGAAGCAAAACAGTTCAAAATCAACCTACCATTTACCTCGATCCCTTCCTTCTCCAGAAGCGTGGTGTAATGCCAATGGACAGAGTAATGGTTGACGAGCAGAATTTTAAGGCATTTCTAAATATCACTGGTTGGTTTAATAAAATTAATTAGCCTGCCACGGAAAAAATTTACTAGCGTGCTGGTTAATTTCACAGTCGAAAGTCAGAGAAGAGAGGTAGGGTGGAGGGAACAAACCTTATTAGTTTTGAATAATTATTTAAAGATGTGGACTTTGCCCATTCAAAACATCTTTGATAGTCAGTCATTATAGCTTTAAAATCTCAATGTTTGTGCCCCACTACATATGGAAGGAACCTCCCTAGATGAAATCATATGCACATTAGTTAATAGCTAAGTGACTTATTTAAGATGCAGAACAAGAAGAATCCTAATAAAACCAGGTCATGAGAAGTTGCCTTAAAGACTGGCTTATGGGAGGTTTCCATAATCTTAATTTGCCATTGATGCAATTATTGTTTTTTCTTGTCTTTTTAATCCAAACAAGATGTTTGCAGTGGTCATAGAAAGGTGCCTCAAATCACATGCCTGAATTCATTTAATTTGCTAACATTGATGTTTTTTTCCCTCTCTCTTCCTGGTAATGGTCAAGAGTCGGTTCTGGTGCATTAGGTACTAAATCTCTTCAATTACCAGCCGGGAAGAAAGATTTAAAATTGTGCCTCAAACTTACAGACTGATTGAGTTTTAAAACACAAACACTTCTCCTGTGGAGCCTAAATTAAGCTGCAGAAAGGACACAGAGCTTGAGGAATTAAACAAGGCAGCGCCAAGGCCCAGACCCGTGATAGGAACCATTCTGATTCCTTTCATTTGTGCCCCCTGATGCAAAATGAAACGGCACAACGTGTGTAAGAAAGTGTGATATTACATTGCTCGGAAGCTGGACTTGGAGAAAGTGTTGGTATGGGGGCATCTAATCAAATCCCTTTTCCTTTTTTTCTTGTTTTCTTCTTTTTGGATGCCCGGCAGCTATTTTCAACGTGGATGACTCTGTGGTTGATCTGGAGACGCTGGCGGCCTTGTATGAAAATGTGAGTGTCAAAGACATACAAAGCTGACGTTTTTGTACTTCCATATCTTTACCGATAAAAAACGTTAAGGTCTAAAAATGGAGTCTGTGTGACTCCTTCCACCTGAAAAATCACTGAGCCGTTCACAGTCTTTGGTAGTAAGGATTTGGACCTTGCATGAGAAATGGAGGTACAGAAACACAGGTTCGAATGAGACTACACATGGCAAAAGCGCTAGGTTCCTGGCTTCCGCTTTGGATCTGGGTTAGGAAATCTCATTGCACACCTACAGGTGGTTCAAGGTGGAGACCACTTATATGCCGTGGAACCCAGCCCTGTTACTTGCTATCCCAGGGAAGTTAAGCTACCTGTTTAATGTCGGTATACACCCATGTCTCCTTTTGAGAAATGGGAATATTAATACCAGTTTGGAGGATTACTCCAAATCAAGTGAGCTGATGGCATTGAACGTGGGAAGCGGTATAGAATGGAGGGTGTGTGTTTGGGATCTTAGGTTTGAAGTCCAGCTCTACCATTGTCTACTGAGTGACCGTGACCAGTTACTTAAACTCCCTAAGCCCGTTGGATCATTAGTATGACGGGGCTTGTAATGGGTTCTCCCTAATTTTTGGGTGCGTATGAGTATTAAATGGGAAATCAGTATTTAAAGCTGTAGCAATGTGTTGTGAAGAGTGAACAACATTGTACATACATAAGGTCTTTTGATTTGGGTGATATGTACAAATCACCAGCAGAATCTGTAGGCTCTCCTGAGATGACACAGGAGAGTTAGAATCCCCACAGTTGTTACCTGTTCTGGCGTACTAACTGTGAAAACGTAGACTGAACCAGATCCTCTTCTACGTAAGTAGTGGTATTTCCCAGAAAGCTGCCTGGAGCTCTGTAGTATGCTATAGTCACCGAGTTCAAAAAATGTTGCATTTCAATACTTGTGGTCCCCTGGTACCTTAAGTCTCTTTTATAGAAAATGTCCATAGTTTAATGTTCCAGGCCTGGAGGGATTGACAATTCCCTGCTCATTTTCATGTCCTTTATATATGTTGTTGTACGCGCTTGAGTTGGTTTTCGACTCCTAATGACTCCATGTGACAGAGTAGAACTGCCCCGTAGGGTTTTCTTGGTTGTAATCTTTACAGAGGCAGATCACCAGGTCTTTCTCCTTTGGAGCCACTGGGTAGGTTCCAACTGCCAGCTTTTCAGTTAGCAGCCAAGGGCTTCACCATTGTGCCACCAGGGCTCCTTCCTTTATATGTCCCAGGAGCTGCATAGTACATCTGGGTGGGAACTTCTCACCTGTTTCCGTTAGTGAGGCGTCCATGAATAGACAAGAAAGCACACAAATGTCAGACCACCGGGAACTAACAGCACGTTTGTGGAGCACCTGGAGGGCGGCCCAGTGTGGTAGGAAAAGCCTGATTTACCAGTATTTAGGGCAAGCGCTTGTGGAATAATCTGTAAAATGAAGATGGAACAGTAGATGTTAGAGGACTTTGTGAAAGTCCTCTAGATAATAACATTTTGTCGTTACTGTGGGCTCAACGCCGTGCACGTGGTCAGTACTTGTCAGCTCACAGTAGAGGCAAGCCACACACAACTGAAACAGTGGAGAAATTGAGGGAAAAAAACCAAACCTCTTGCTGTCGAGTCGATTCCGACTCATAGCGACCCTAGAGGATACAGTAGAACCGCCCTGTAGGGTTTCCAAGGAGCGGCTGGTGGATTTGAACTGCTGGCCTTTTGGTTAGCAGCCAAACGCTTAACCCCGGCACCACCAGGGCCCCTAAATTGAGAAAGTAAGTGATTAAATGCCAAAATACGCCATACAATGAGTGCTTACGAAACGCAGAAAAAGGGAAGGTGGCTACTAGAAATAGAAGGACTGAAGGTCTGTGCATGTCCAGATGGCTGGTCTGAGGGTAAGGAAGCAAATGCTGTGGACAGCTTGCCCCAGAGCCCTGGCTTCTGCATCCAGCTGAGGTCACTTGTTAGGACCGTTTGCACCAGACAAGTGGTTTCTCAGACTTCAGCAAGCCTCAGAATCTCCCAGAGGGCTTGCTGGGCCCACCCCGGAATTTCTTCTGTCTGGGGTGTGGGCCGTGATTTGCATTTCTAACCAGAGATGCTGAGGCATTTCTAACAAACGACAGGTGATGCCTGGCAGGGGCCAAGGGACCAGACTTTAAGATCCGCTGCTTTACACAGATTCTCAGTGGCCTTTTTTTTTTTCCTATTTCAATACAGAGAGCCCAAGAGGATGAATTGGTTAAAATAAGAAAGTATTACAAGACATCCAAAGAGGAAGAATTGAAGCTGCTGGATAAACCTGAACAGTAAGGACACTCGAACACTTTCCTGTTAGGCTAGAAGGAGAACTCAGTCTGCACCTTCCTGCCTCCCAGCCTGGAATAACCAAGGCTACGCTGTGCTGTGGGCTCCGTCACGGCGCATCACGCCCGTGACCTATTGCACACAGCAGGCTGACCCCGCTGCCAGGAAAAAGCAGCGCTGAGATCTGTGGGGCTGGATACTCTATCTCATCCCCCCTCTGCCCGTCACAGCTCCCCTTTCTTGTTCTTGCAACTTGTTAATTCCTCCTAGACTAAACATTTTGGCCAAAAGGGTAACCGAGGAAGGGAGAAGGCTTCGCTCTGTTTAAGGTTCTGCTGAAACAGTTAAAAAGATGACGTCAGAGCCACAGAATTCAAGTTAATTTTCCTAAATGCTCTATCCAGTAAATGCAGCCTGAATGAGCCAGCTTCCCCCCCGTCGCTCCACCTGCTCTGCCCAATTCAGATGTGACTTTTCCATCCTGTCTGTGCTCGTGCTGCTGCTTCTCTCCATCCAGCTTTGTGTCCGCTGTAGTCTCGGGTGTCACTCCACCCTCTCCGTAATCTCAAAACTCTGCTGCATGACTGAGCAACCCTTGTCCTTGGCTGGACTCCCTGCAGCATGTAAGCCACAGATCAGCCCCAGGGCCCCACCCAGTGTTTCAGGACCCAGAACTCTGTAAGAATTACAATGGGCCCAGAGCGACCCCAGGGCTCCATTGCCTAATGCTGCCCAGTTCAGGTCACGCCTCTCAACCTGGAAATGAGGCAGGGAGGTGGAAAACAAAGAAGACATTGAGTGATCCGGTTTAGGGTAACATGCCAGCCCTAGAGGCGTCCGAAGTTACACGGATTGCACTGACACGTTCACACCTTGCCCCTGGGTCGTCTAGAGCTGCCCCACTCCCCGTGGAGACCTGGACCTTCAGGCCCAGAAAAACATTTCTAAGTAACTAGCAGGGGTGGCGTCTAGGTTTACCCAGTTATTGACAACCTTCATGATAACATTGGGTGCCTTGGATGAGTTGTTCTCACGTGGCGTGTGGGCCAGAAACCATCCTCCACCAAAGTTAGTTCACCGCCTAGGAATTTTGTGAATCAATGCAAATGGAGTCCTTGTGCCCTTTTGTTCAGTTTGCTGAAACCGTTCTCTTAACCGATTCCCAACACCACCAATCCTGTGTTCCATTCCCAAGTCATGTTTCCTAATATAGTAAGTTAATTCCTGCTAACATGCTAATGACTGATAATGAAGTGCCCAGTAATGGGATATTTGGACACTAGCTAGACCATGATGGGGTGTTTGGGGACAACCGGGCCTATCAAGTATTTCACTAGTGCCAGCTATATCAAGTTGGGCAGACAGGGACAGTTGGCAGACTGTCCCTGTAAAGGGCCAGATAATATATATTTTAGGCTTTATCAGTCATACCGTCTGTGATAATACTCAGCCCTGCCATTATTTTACAAAAGAACCCATAGACAATGCATAGAAAAATAAGCATGACTGTGTTCCAATTAAACTCTGTTATGGACACTGAAATTAGAATTCCATATCATTTTCACATGTCATAAAAGATTATCTCCCTATTGATTTTTTTCCCAACCATTTAAAAATGCAAAATCCATTCCTAGTTCATGGGCCATACAAAAACTCTCGGTAGGCTAGATTGGGCCCGAGGGCTGTAGTTTGCCAACCCCTGCTTTAAGCTATGGGAGTGGCCGACCCAGTGAAATGAACAGTAGGGATGGCATGGTATTTCTGCCACCTGAAGTGTTCCCCTTTCCCTTCTGTGTTATTGCCTTTGTAGCATTGTTTTTCCAGATTCATTTCCAGGACACAGAATAGTAGTGGCAGGTAATTAACAGACCACTTATTATCGCTGTTTTCTTTACTGACGCTCTTGACAGAAAAGTGTTCAAGTTTGTGTTGGCCATCGTGATGGCATTCAGAACAAGTAATGCCATCCCAGCAAAAAGGGCTCAAGCATTGCACTGGTGCGTCGAGGTGCCTGGGTCAAGTCACGCGGAATGAACGCCACCCCTGTGCACAGTGAAGCATTTGTCTGACTTGCAACAGCGTCTGATTCTCGGGCCATTTATTTGCCATTGGCTCCAGTGAGTCAACTATACGCCAGTTTTACCTGCTGGAAAATAAGAATGGTTTATAGTCTTAGCGTCACAATTTCCTGAGCCCTGCAGTGCCCGGACCTATAAATCACAGCGTGGAGAGGCTGGCCTCATCGCTCACCTCATCAGCTCTCTCACACCCGAGCGCCAGATTTAGAAAACCATATCCCACAGAGATGGCATATGCCTAGGACCAGCCTGACGGAGAGCCACCTCCTTCAGGGATGGTCCTGGACTCTCTTCGCCCCATGCCTTGTGAGGTGAGGCAGGGTTCTACTGGGTCTGGTTAGTCCTGACGCATGCCCATCACAGTCTATTGGGGTGCTCCATTCAGGATCCACAGCTGCCATGAGGCCCCCACAAAGAAGACACGTTGCCTTGTGAAGCAATGCTTGGCTACTGTACTCATCCGTGGACACACATAGGTTACAACAAGAAATTATGCTGTAAGCACAGCCCCAACTAAAAAGACACATCTGAGATAATCCCGTTCAGGAGCTTAGAGAGAGATAAACCAAGTGTTAGTTCCTCAGAAGCAATGGGTCACACTGCATCAATCTATTGTCAGCCGAGGAGCTGCTGTGGAATGTGCAATCCATCCACTGTGAGGCTCAGAACTTCTCTCATACACAGGCTGAAGTTACAGTCCTTCCTAGGGACGTAGGTGTGCATTGGGGAAAGAAGAGAAAGACCCCTTGCTTGTGGCTTCCTTGGGGGATATTTAGTCCTCTCTATTACTGACCATAGGGTGTAGGGATAGGCTAGCCCAAGAAAATCAGTCTATAAATATAAGTTTCAAGGTCCTACACTTGGGGATATTTAAAAGCATTATTCTCTTTGCCCATGGAGATTGAGTTTAAAGCACAGTTGGGGAGACAAGATATTTATCAGACCCTTGCTTCATAGCCTTTGAGACAACCTGTACTTGTGGGACTTGCCCAGATAAATGGGACGGGAGCTGTGGTGAGAGCTTTCTCAAGCCTTTGCATGGCTATTTTTGGTTTTGTTTTCACGTTTTTTTTTTTTTTTTTATTCTTGTGCTTTAAGTGAAACTCTACAATTCAAGTTAGTCTCTCATACAAAAATTTATACATGCATTT